ACATATACAGCACATTTTGTTTATCTCCTCATCTGTCAATGGACACTTGGGTTGCTTGTATCTTTGGGTAACTGTAAATAATGCTGCTGTGAACATGGGTGTACAGATATCACTGAGACCCTGCTTTCAGTTCTTGTGGGTATATACCCACAAGTGGAATTGCTGGATCACATAGTTACTCTGTGTTTTTGAGTATCAGTCATACAGTTTTCCACAGCAGCCTAACAGTCTACAGTAACAGCACACAAGGATTTCAATTTTTCCACATTCTTGCCTATACTTGTTATTTTCTGGTTTTCTGTTTGTTTTAAATAGTGGCCATCCTAATAGGTGTGAAGTATCTCACTGTGATTTTATTTTGCATCTCCCTAATGATTAGTGATGTTAAACATAATTTCATGTACTTGTTGGCTATCTGTATATCTCTTTGGAAAGACATCTCAAGTCATTTTGAATGAGTTAAATCATTCAAATGGGTTAAATCAATTTCAGTCCCTTAAAATGGTTAAGGTGGTAGATGGGTATTAAATAATAGGTTGTTTGCTCTTTTGTTGTTGAGTTGAAGTTATCTGTATATTCTAGACGTTAACCTGTTATCAAATACGTGATCTGCAAATATTTTCTCCCATTCTGCAGGCTGCCTTTTCATGTTGTTGTTGACTGGGCTTTTGGTATCATACCCAAGTCACCGCCGACTACAGTGAAGCTTCTCCCATTTTTTTCTTCTAGGAGTCAGAGTTTTGGCTTTTAGATTATGTCTCTGACCTATTTTGAATTAACTTTTGTCTATGGTGTGAGGATACAGCTTCACTTTTTTGCCTAAGGATAGCTGGTTTTCCCAACACCATTTGTCAAAAAGATGTTCTTTCCCAATCAAATGTCTTGGCATCCTATGGAAAACCATTTGACTATATGTGCTGGGGTTTATTTCTGGGCATGCTAGTCTGTTCTGTAGTTCTGTCTGTGTTTATGCCAGTGCCACATTATTTTCATTACTGTAGCTCTGTAATAAGCTTTGAAATCAGAAGTATGTGACCTCCAGCTTTGTTCTTTTTCAGGATTGTTTTGACTATTTGGGGTTCCTTGAGATTTGGTGTAAGTCTTAGGATGGGTTTTTCTATTTCTGGAAAAAAAAAATCAGTTGGGAATTTGATGGGGGGGTACACTGAATCTGTAGATCACTTTTGTTAGTACTGTCATCTTAATATTAGGTATTTTAATCCATGTACACAATATATCTTTCCATTTATTGGTGTCCTTAATTTCTTTTCGGCAAAATTTTGTAGTTTTAAATCTACAAGACTTTTGCCTCCTTTTTGATGCTACTGTACATATAACTGTTTCCTTAATTTCCTCTGGAGAGTCTTCAACAATAGTGAGTTTTAACATTTAATTTTTACTGTTAAACATAACCAGTATACTGAAAAGTGAATAGGATATTTGTATGTTAAGAACCAAGTAATCGGTCCTGTACTTGGCCATCCACATCAAGATAACATTGCCTGAACCCCCTCTAATTTTAGCCTTTTTTCAGAGACGCTTGCACTTGCCCCTTTACCTTAAAATGGTAAAGGGGCATTTACCACTTTACCTTTACCACTCTGTGGTTTGCCTTCTCCTTTGACCTTCTGAATTTGGCTCCTTGTGATGTGTTTAGCCTAACTGATTATATAGAGAAAAGTAGTGTGGTCCAGTGCGGAATAAGAAGGATTTCAGTTGAACACTACAAAACCACCATTCATTCATCTGTTTATTTAACAAACTTTAGCTCCTTCACCGCAGGAATTATACTTGCTCTTATGACTACAGAGGGGACTGACACAGCGGACAGGATATGCATGATAGAATCGTCACAGTCAACACTGAAGGAGAAGAACTTTTTTGCAAGGGCCAAATTCATTTGTGGGGAGAGATCACCATAGAGGAAGGTGTAACTGAGACCAGCCTTACAGGAGGGTAAGGATGCTCAGGAGAGGTCTAGACCCGAGGGGACTGACAAAGACCAGGCCTGTAGGTGCATGGGTTGAAATTATGGGATAGTTCTCAAGAGATACAGGTCTCAGTGGCTGATGGGATGTTGGGGAGAAAGTGAGCCCAAAGTCGTCTATTAAGAGGGAGACTCGGCTTGGAGGAGGAGAGGCATCAGCACACTGTTTGAGATGCCTGCAAGACAGGCAAAATGACGGGCACAGTGCTTGGATGTGTAGCTAATCTGGACCCTGGGGGAGACTCTGGGATGGACCTAGAAGCTTAGGAGTCACTATCATATAAGTGACCATTTATTCAACAGGAATGTGTAAGATTTTTCAGGAAGAGCATCTTAACTGAGAACGTTATGGACACAACCCAGGAGAACAGCATACCGTTAGTGGCAGGTGGTGGGCGACAGCAAACCTTAGAGTGAAGAGGGATGGTCAGAGACATAGGAGAACCAGGATAGAGTCAGGCCACAGACCCCAAGGGAGGGCCAGGTGTGAAGGAGGAGGCAGTGAAGTGCAGTGTATATCTATATCCATCTAACACAGGCATCTCTTCGGAGCCATGGAGACAGAAGTGTGTTTCCTACCCTGTCTTCTCAGCTTTTTCTGTTACGTGGGACAAGAGAGTGTGAAAGACCTGCCTGGACTGGCCTGCAAGGCCAACGGTGGCCTGGTGCAGGAAGAAGTCATGGCAGGAAGAAGACAGGGATCTAGAAAGTATGGGTGTTCTGAGCCTATACCCTGGAAGCCCTGTCATAGCCTGGAGAGCAACAGCTAATAAAAACAAGACCAAGCTACTCTGTTTGCCTACTGTTGGCACAGGATGGCGGGGGGGCGGGGGGCATTGTATGGAGGGCACAGCCTCAGGCTGGAGAAGATTCCCTGGTGCCCCTGGCAAGGGAGGGAGTGCCTGTGCAGGCCAACTCACAAGATCCCACTACACTGCAGAGCGTGGTGAAGGCCCCACCAGCTCTCCCTACTTAAAAGTTACCATTTGGCCACCAGACAAATTGTAGACTGGTCCTGGGGCTGATGTCCACTGTGCTGGTTGGTACCCATACCCACGGTTAGTGTTGGCAAGGCATCAGGAGGTCAGTTGCAGCCAGGGCCCCTATTGGGAGCAGAGATCTGCTAAACACAAGTTTCCATCTCTACAACCCACCTCTCTCTCTGCCAGAGACTGAGCTGCTGGTGCTCACAGGAATTAAATATCTTTTTGGTCAGCATACACCTCTCAGAAAGGGATGCTATTCTGCTTTTGTTCCTGCCTTCCTGATTTCAAATACTGGATTTTATCCACTGTAAATTCAATTACTTCCTCCTTTTGAAAATACTCAGAGTCTCTGAGAAAAGAGTACTTTAAAAAGTGTAAAACCATCAGGGATCTGAATAAGCCAGCTCTGCCCCTCTTTGGAGGCCCTCACGGGTAGCCTGGGACCAGGTCAGGCAGACTGAGCTGTTTCCTGCCACTCACTTCTCTCCAACCTGCCTTGACCCCCTTGGTTCTATCATCACTGCCATCCCTGCAGGCTCCACAGGGAAATTGTGCTTCTGGGCTGGGGTTCTGTGCACAGCAGAGCAGTGCCCTCTCTACGACTTATGGAAAACCAGCTCTTAAGAGGGCTTGTATAGGAGGACATTTTGGGGAAAAAGTGACAAGAAAAAGACTTTGTCTGTCTTCAAATGCAGACTTCTGTGAGGGCCTGCCTGTCAGAAGGAAGTGCTGGTCTTGGAAGAGCCATCCCAGGAGCACGATGGGACATGAGGCCAGTTCCTTCTGTCCATGTGTTCTCAACACCCCCACACAGAACAGCTCTTCTCCCCCAGGCCTGAGAAAAGAGAAATGCTGGCAGCCCTTTAGAGTGACCAGAGGTCACACTGCCTGCTCAGAGAGATCCATTGCTCATTACCACAACATGAATAACACTTGATGCTGCTGAGGATACTGTGAGAAGCCTCTATTCAAAAATGGTGCCAACCTGCTGTGTGATGTTGGTAAAGAATAGAGAAAGGTTACCCAGTAGAACTACAATGAAGTAATGTCCCCCCACCAGCTTATCATTTCTGTTCTCTAAAAAATCACAAATCGAGAAGCTCCAACCCCTCTTACCTTCCTCTGGTGCAAAGCCTTCCTGAGACAACTCCCCTATATCTAGGCAGCCAGACGGTGCCAAGTCATCTACTAAGCAGAGGCTCAACAGGAAACCAAAGCGCAGTGCCCAAATGTGCGGAGGGAGGGCAGGAAGAAGCTCACGGTGGCTGATGTCTGGGTGTCCTGACATGTCTTCTCCTTGGCTTAACTTTAAAGAGAAGCAAAATTACGCCTGGCCTTGAGGGATTCCCTCTGACCTTAGCAAACTCTAAGCACGACACGGGACTTACACCTAGATGATTCCAGAGGGACTGATCTAAATGTAGGACTGAAACCATAAAAAAACTAGAAATAAGAATAGGTAAATGCTGAAAACATAATCCTGGGACATGAATGTGAAGGCAGAAACTATTAATAATATTAAACTGAGCAGAGCCCATGCACCAAGCAAGGTGCCAGTGAGCACTTCGGTCTAGCCCCTCATCGTGCGCACGCAGCCATACCACCGTGCCCACAAGGACTTGGCTGCCCCATATATGCCACCTTCTGTGGTGAAGCCAGGACTCAATTTCAGAACAAGCATCAAAATGAAAGACAGGTGTACGTGACTACATAAATATTTGAAATATTGTATACCCCCTACCACAGATGAAAGGACAGCTGACAAATAGGTTAAAAAGTGTGCAACATATGACATGGGTTAATACATTATATGTTAGTAACAATCTATATGAAAAAGACCAACTCTCCAATGAAGTCACAAAAATAGAAATATCATAAAGGTATAAAAGATGTTCAGTGTTCACAGTAATCAGGGAAATGGACACTGAACTGAGGTGCACTGGCCCCAATGATAATAAAGGGAAAAGGCATGTTACCGGTGGCAGCTTAAATTTCTGGGAGTTTGACAATACTAAAAACTCCAAGAGTTAAACAATTCAATCATCCTGTAATTGTACATTTCCAGTGAGGGGAATTTTTCCAAGGGAGATCATGGGTCATGTATGCCTAGAAGGCAAAACAGTAATGCAAGGGGCAGTCCTGGTGATGATGAACAGTGCCAATATTAATACAAGTGGAACTGCATTTTGGCAAGTCATATGACGAGGACTGGGCTACCCACAGAGATGATGTGATCCATGCTCACTGATGGGAAGGTAACAACAATGGTTACCATTTACAAACACTTACTTCCGAGAAACGTCGCACGTACCTCATGAGGAAGGTACCGCTGTTATCCACACTTTGCACACGAGGACATGGAGGCTTGGAGAGGTTAAGCAACTTGCTCAGAGTCACCAGCAGTGAGGGGCAGAACCAAGATTGGGACCTGTGTCTGTGTGCCCCCAAAGTCCATGCTTTTAACTTCAGCCCTGCTGCCCCTCTGCTTCAAATTAGTTAGAAACAAGCATATAAAACGGAAGTCTCCCATGGTCCCATGTTTACAAACATATGCATTCAGCACCTGAGCACTCAACACAATGCCCAACAACAATGGTCCAGTCATAGGCTGGTCACATAGAACTAGTCCTCCTAATAGGATGAATCAGTCAAGGCCAAATTTAATATCTTGTCAGTTATTTATTATTTGTCATTCTAAAGACTAGCACATTTACAGCATACATGGCTTCGAATGACCTAAGAATATATAAAACAGTAACTGTACGTTTATATATATATATTAATACTGCCCGAAACAAATAAATAAAGGTATCATAATGCACTAAGCTTGGCAAATACAATTGTGTAGGGACAAAACTGTATTATACAATATTTTTACATCTTTAAATGAAACTAAAGGCAACTGTGCTCTGTAGGAGCTCTGACAGAATCCACATTACATTCCCAGTTTTCCATAGATCTCATTTCTTTTTAAATGGGGAGGCTTTATAAGGAACATTGGACGGAACCTCTATCCTACGGTAACTTGTAAAACTGTCCTCCCTGCACATCTGAAAACTCAAAGCTCCTACAGAAGAGAGGAGCTACTTGCCTCCAAGGCTGTGTAACACACTCTCATCCTGCAACCGCCGGAAGTGTGATGCCACCAGAAGCCCAGTAACAATGCCTTCAGAGAGAATACTGAAACCTGAACCTTTTCTACATGATTTGCCAAGTCTTACAGTTTTATGGTGACCCATTACATAAAGCAAAAATTGGGAAAATAATTCATATAAAGGTGCCACATGCAAAACTCCTGACAGATGATCAACATTTGCTATATTCCCTTTGATAAGTGCAGATATTTAATGTTCTTCAGACAAAAAATATCTGAAAACTATGTGGGTAATATTGATTTTTTTAAAAAGCAAGGAGATTTTTTAAAAGTTAAAATGAGAAAATATGGAACTAAAAATTTACAAATTAAATGAGGTGGTGGAGAGGTGAAAGGCCAAATCAGCCATATTGAAAGCGAACTGTCTGTGAACAGAGACTGACACTTAAAAAGGAGAATGTGACACCAGCAGCAGCCACCTGTGCAGTGGGTTTGGTGGGCAGGAGTTTCTCTGCCTCCTGCCTGCCATAGTGAACCAGCTTTGAGGGAGCAGCTGAGAGCTGCATCCTTGTTAAAGTGTCCTCCACAGACATTCTCCTCCCTGCAGGCACCAGGAGACAGCAGGCTTTGCTTGCATGCTGACTTCTGAGTAGGAGGGGATCTGGAAGGTCACCCAGTTCTACCCCTACCTGATGCCCACCCCCTCTGTGTTCCTGCCAATAAGTAGTCCTCCCCATGCTTAGCACCCCTGGCCCAAGTTTGTTATATGTTTCTAAAGAAACCAGAAGAATCTGTAGGCTTTTAGACATAAGAATTTCTAAGAGGTTCACAAATCATTAGGATCAGCATTAATATATGCCATATAGATTTCTTTTACAACCTTTTCAAGAACATGTAAACATCATAAACAGAATCAATAAAACATATAAACTCCTAAGAAAAAAACTCTGCTATGTGCAGATAAGACTCATCATCATCTTATAAAAGATGACCAGACAAAATTTTATATGAAATTCCTAAGTTTTATGGCCCATAAATCTCTTTCAAAATCTCATTTAAGGAGATAATTTCAACTGTTGCTCAATAGTCATCTTACATAACGGAACGAGAATAAGAAAGTAACAATTATTGCAAACCTAAAAATAAGACACTTTTATCAGACATTCAAACATGATTGTACTGTTTTTTAGAAGAAGATATATTGGAAATCCTGCAAGAAAATTCTTTTCTGTAAATATTTAGGTTTCTACTATCTCTATGGTCATCAATTCCCCATGAGTGTGTGACATGCCACATCTGAAGCCCTGGATTCACATCTAGAGAAGAAAGGGAGATGTGCCCTGTACGCATGGGAGAGCCTAGACAGGGAGCTTCTGAGAACAGGAGACAGGCTAAAGGGACCTTACTGCTGGCTTTGTGTCTCCAAGCAGACTCCCAGTTCTCTAACTCATGAGGGACAAAAAAAAGAGTGGACCCAACTGTGTGGGCTACCTTGGAGATGTTACTTTCTAATAAAGTCTTATCTCCAGTTAATTTATCAATCTTTCTTTCAACTTCTTTAGGTGGTGCTGTAAATAGGATAATTCACTAGAACCCTTTATTCTCACTGTATGAGATAGTGCTAGCTTCTTTTCCCAAATAACATTTAACATTTATTGGTCTGCCTAGGATCCAATTATTTATTATTTACTGTTTTACATTCATACTTGTACAAAGTGGATTGTAATTCAATGGTCACTTTTGAGTTACTCTGCAGAAAAATAAGTGAGCAAGTTGGCATTTTGATTCATATAGATCTGTGTAGTTACAGCCAAAGGCTATTTAAATGGGCAGTTGTTACTAACCACATTATTGACCCAAACATTACCTCCTATTGATTCCAATGGTAAAAAAACAAAACAAAACAAAAAAAAAAACCCAAAACCAAAAAACATGCTCCATAGATTCTTAAGTGAATTTAAAAACAAAAACAAAAACAAAACAAAAAATAAAAACCAATCTTTCAGGTCTTCTTGAAGAAGTCATATATGACACTAGAGGGTACCCACATTTATTATGTAACAGCTAATTAGAGGAAACCGTGTGTTCACGTTTCAACTTTTCCGTAAGTCCCTTCGGGAGGCCTGTAATGCTTGGGGAAAGCCTTCAGCTGCAGGGAATTAAATGCATATTTGCGACTTCCAACATTCTTCATTGTATTTTCTCTTCGACAACCCTCACTGGGGAAAAAACAAGCACAAGAAATGACAGCAGTAAAAAAGGAAAAAAGAAAAGACTTAAACTAAGATGAAATGAACTGATTATTTTCATAACATTAAAAAAAAAGATTAATTTAAATGGGTGCTGGACTCATTTACAACAAATACATACGTAAAATGGCAGGTTTCTGAACAAGGCAATTAAGAAGCACAGAGATGGACACATGCTGCATGGGGCTGTGAGTTGTGCATTCCTAGAAGCAGCACTGTATCTAAGTAGAAGCAAACTTTTTAAAAGTGAATGAATGACTTCATGTAGCTCATGTCTAATTGAGGTTTTGGGGTTCTATCATAACTTGTGGTTCAAAGGTTATCTTACATAGCAAATTAGGCAGAAAGAGAAATATTACTACTCTTACTAAAGCTGCACTTTAGTAAGCTTTAACGAGCTGCACTTTTCTATATTAGCAAGAGCTGTAATCACATTGAAATTCAAAATGTTGACTTTCCTTGCAGAATTCAACATGTAGCAAAGGCATGTGGCTGGGAAGGCTGTTCCGATCTGCTGTCTCCTGGAGGACAGTTGTTCTGGGTGCCAGGTAATCCAATGGGCTCATGCACTGTCTGCAGACCAGCCTGGCAATCAGGGCTGGAATGTCATGAAGGAGGGACCTCACCGAGATCTGGTAGCAGCCAGCAGCCATTCCACAGGTGGGCTGCCCTCATGTGTTCCCTCTTGCACAAGTGCCACTGAGCCAATGAGAGCCCACAGGTATCCTTCCCTAGAGAACTCACTACCAGTATAATCCCCAGCTGCATTTGATGGAAGGTTGCCATGGCAATCCGGGAGGGAGGCAAAAACAAACGCTGCATGGGAGGATGAGTAGCCAGGTGTCGTCACCTGCTTAGTGAGTGCATCGGGGGAGTTCTCTGGGAAATGTTCAGGTGTAGACATAAAACTAATTGGCAAAAGTGACTTTATACATAAATGACTTCCCACAGCACAGTATAACTTGATAGTTGTATACTGTTCTAAGACTAGCAATGAAATCAACTAGTTATCAAATATAGTACAAAATTCCCTTTATGAGATGCAAAAATTTGCAGTTAGCAAGAAACAGTGATTTTTTAAAAAATTCAAATTGTATGAAGATCATTATGTCATGCACTTTAAAAAAATATCAGTGGCAATTGCTCAAGCCTTTTAAAGTGAAAATGACAGTCTCATCAAGAACATGTAAAATACTTTTGGTAAGACAGTAATTTTTATTCAAAAGCTAAGCTCTGATAGTTTAGAAAAGTATCCACCTGGTTGTTATAACTAATTTGGTAACTTGGATATGCTTTCTTGTCACAGAGCCTCAAGGCCTCAGCTGAGCTGAACACCCATGCCACAGGAGCAGGTCCCCTGGAGTAACAATCATGTTTGCCTAACATTCAGTAATCAAAAATGGACTTCCACTTAAAGCAGAAGCTATAGGTTCCTATGCACAGTTAATCTCCTTTAATCTTTGGAAACTCTTACATTAATGAACTACTTCAGATATGGCTTCTCCATTTATATAGAAATGTACAAAGTCCTTAAAAACCACCTATCACTAGTGAACGCTAAACTGCTGTGAGGAGCGAGGCAGAATAATTTGTGAACTTTGTTTGACATTATCTTTTATTTACATCTTAAAGGAGCTAATGCCTAGTTTAGTTAGCTGAACACATTAGACATGAAGTTATAATAAAGATTGTACCTTCATTTCAACATAGTTTTCAAATCAGATTTTATTTTCTTTCCCAAAAATGTCTGAATTTACATAATCTGGCTGGTGCGGCTGATCCATATGCCGACACTGTCATCCCACTGCCTGTACCGACAAGCTGGCAAGAGGGCCTGGGACGAGGTATGCAGAGGTGGTGAGGATGGCCTGTGTTAACTGGGGCTTCCCGCCACAGAGGCCAGCCTGCTGCCCTAAGGCAGAACACCTCCACTGATCACACTGGCTGCGTACTTTTTAGGAGTCAATGGCACCTGTAGAGAAGGTCTTAGATTTTAGCAAGAGGGACTTATTTGTTTCAAAACTCCATGATTACTTTTACTATATCAATAAATTATTTCTTTTCAAGGGCATCCATTTTTGAAATGAAGATTAAAATGGAAACCCCAAATGACAGATAATTTTAGGGAATCCTCTAGTTTGCCAGTTCCAGTGGGATTTTCCATTTTAGAACTCATCTGCAGGCATCAGTATCTTAGTGATTCTATGGCATGGGGTAGTGGCTGCTACTCCTGTCACTTTGTGGAGGGAGAATAGGCCACTGTGTTAAAATCTCTGCTGGAATCAAGCCTTAGGCATAAATGGTGACTGTCACACTAGTTGAAAAAACTTATACAACAATTTTATAAGATCATTCAAAGAGAACGACTCCTGATTATGGTTTCCCTAACTTGAGAAAGCTGGTTTAATCCTGAACACCTAGAGCTGGTACCAACAATGCCTCAACACTACTTCTGTACATGCAGCTATAACCATCAATAAATGTCAATGACCCCTTTCTTGAATCATCTCCCCGCCTCTGTTTCATCCTGCCTATCTCTCACTAAAGTAGGTAAGATTTTGAAAATGTATTTGGCCTGATTTCATGAGTAAAAGCCCTTGGTGACATTAAAATTCAGCATAAAGAGAGAGCAACTGAGTTTCTTTTCTCAAATACTTAAGTTTTAAAAAGCCCAAACCAAACCACCGCCTAGGCTAATCTCATGGTGTCCTTTTGACAGCTCTCCAACTGCACAGGCAGCATACTGATTTTCACCCAGCCCCTGGAGGAGAGAAACAAAGAACTTTATCTTACTCCCTTTGGTCTCATTTCTCTCTCAGCCCAAGGGCTAAGTCCACATGGCCAGAAAGATGTGGTGACAATCAAGGATCAGGCCGTGGTGTCCTTGAGGCCCCCTGGGAGTGGCTCCTCAGCTGGCCACAGCTTCTCTGTGCTATGGGGCAGGGTCCTGGGAGGGGCCCCTGGAGGGTGCCACAGAAGCATCCTTGAGCCTTGGGACAGGGAGGAATGCTGTCTGCAGTCAGAGGGCCTCCCTCTGTGCATGGCCTCTGCCTAGCCACTAGCCCTGCCGTGGAGGTGGGAGTGAGCACCAGTCACCACTGCAGGCAGTGGAACCACACTACCAGTGGCAGGACGTGGAAGCTGTGTAATGGAAGCTGAATGAGGCTGTGGACTCTGCTTTCTCACTTTCAAATAAAGCAAACAAGATGGTATTAGTTGAAGTGCATGCCTCAATGTGAAAGAGGGAAAGTGGCAAACATACCTTTCAAATAATCACAGGCTGGACAGGACACTAAGGACAGTAGCCCAAGGACTACTGTCATGCTGCCACAGCTTACACCACCCATGAGCTGGCATTTGGTGAGAGACTCCCTACTGAAGGATGCCAAGAGCTATGCCGTAACAGCCATCTCATTTATTTTAGAAGAGACAAGTGAACATGCTGCACTTGGAGAGGCGTGGATTCACCTACGGGGTGACACACGGGTGACACCTGCCCCAGGCAGCCTGCATTGCTCAGGATGGTCTTCCACTTTAGAATGTAAAGTGTTGAGTCTAGCATTTGCCATTCGTTGCTAACTGCTTCTATGATTCTTAGTACCCAGACTCTGAGCTGATACCAAATGAGAGAAAGCCAGACTCTGAGCTGAAACCAAACGAGAGAAAGCTCAGAGTAAGGTCTGGAGTCCTGGAGAGAGAATGAAGAGAGGTCACCGCCTTTTGTGGTGGATTGGGTTTCTGGGCATGCATGGGTGCCAAGTTTCTGGAAAAGCAAGCTTCTCTAAATTCATTTCCATTTTTCTGGACTGGTTAAAAAAAAAAATCCTCTTCATAAACTACAGTGTATGGGGAACGAACTGAAGACAGAAAGTGGGGGCACAATATAATATGAACTGTAAGACAGAGAAGCCGCTGACTGTCCTGCACAGGGTGTGGGGATTTTTTCCTTATTTATTCGGTTACCTTTACAGGTGTCCAATAACCCTCTGCCCCACATGGGTGTTAAGGTTACACTTCATCGCATTGCAGGGCATGCCACATTAGGACTAAAGGGCACCAGCAGAAACCAGAGCACCCCGTTGCTCTCACAGCTCTATCCGTCACAACTGCCCAAAAGTCAAGGATCATTTTTTTTTGCAATTTCTCTTTCATTTTTTTTTCATTATCAACCATATTTGATTAGTAAGAGAGAAAAGATGTTGGAACTTTAATCTGCAATTAAAGATACCATTTTTAAAATGAAAAATGCTGTTTTAAAATAAATAAAAAGATATAACTTTAACAGCCTTTGGTTACTATATGCATTAATCCCTAGAACCAGTTGCATGACCCTTGCAGAGTCAGATAGCCTATTGGTCTGTGTCTGACTTGGTACAGTGTACTATTGTATTCACAGCTTTGTGTCATCCTTAATCAGAAATAATAAATATAAGCAAGGCAGTCTTAAGATTTTGCAAACTGTTTGCTACTGTAATTCAGGGACTACGCTTTGAAATGAAAGCAGAAAATACATGTCCTATTAGATAGGTTTATCTAGATGAGCCAGTTATAAAGCATCTATCTTTTTCTTTTCATTTGTCATCAAAAGGAAAGGAAGGGTTAGCAGTATACTTAAAGAATAGTATCAAATATACAAATTCTCTTCAAACAGAACTCCTTTTTTTTGGAAACAGGGCACGTGAGAAGTACAGGTGATAGATAGTTGTACGTCGGAAGGTAGAGACGTGGTAGAAGGAATTCCAGGCCAGCTAAACGATGCAGTGACAGGGCACCGTAAGAACATGTTACAAGCACTGAAGATGCTACAGGAGCTAAACAAACAAGTCCTCTTGGTGAAATAATTTGGCAGCTATTTACAGTTCAGAAGAACAAAACATCAAAATGTAAGGCATGAAATATCTCTTGGAAGACCACGCTTTGAAACATTCCTTCTGTCCAGTTAGGTACACGGTGGCTGGACATGTTCTGGCACTTTTGTTTTTCTTGTGACTTATTAATTTTTCATAATAATATTCATTTGCAACGCAATTTGGTCACCAGGTATGCTATGCTCAGAAAGAGCCACACAATCAGTAAATTGGGGCTCAGAGCTAATAAAGGAATGGAACAGAGGAGGCTGGGGTCTAGCCTTAAGTCTCGGATGGGCACCAGGCCGCTCAAGTTCTTCTGGGTGACTACCTCCCGTGTTCCAATGCTGTGAAAAGGAAAAAGTTTGGGAGAAAGAAAAAGAAAAAGGAAAGGAAAGAAAATAAAGAAAAAAAGAGAGAGACATGCGATGGATTTTATCAAAAAGTATGAGATAAAGGAGAGAACCAAAAGATAAGGTTAAAAAAAAAATGAAATGAAGCCACAATAGAAAGAAAAGATGAAATGCAGAAACGGGTATGAGAGGAAGACCAAAACAAAACCAGCACAGTTACAGGAAAAAAGGAGAGAAAGAGAAGTGAAAATAAGAAAAAATACTGCAATCTACTGAAAATAAACACATGTAGGTTGAACGAATGGTTTTCCATGTTCACTCTCTCGGCTGGCCAAGCACAACTCCATGCTGCCCGGCCATGCTCCCACATGCTGCACACACAGGGATTTCTGAGAAGCAAGCTGAACATGAAGAACCATTGGGGGTTTGACCTTCTCACAGATGCCTGAGCAGGGGGTGGCACAAAGGATTTGGCCAAAGCTGCCTCTTGATCACCCACACAAATGAAAACCATCTACCTCAGGTACCAACCAACCAAGTGCAGAGCCCTTACCAGCCCCACCTCGGGTTCTGGGCTCAGCAGTGGCAGGCATGAACGACTGCTGTCTCCATCTTTGCAAGTTATGGTTCTACGAGCATCCCCAAGGGTGGAATCCAACCAACACCACACTGAAAATTTGGGTCTTCTTCCCCCTTTTGGTGCTATAGAAAAACTGCACTGAGGTGAGATGGTACCTAGAGCTACACGACTCTGGAAGCACATTCATGTCCGCGGTGACACAGAATCGAGGCCTGAGGACACAGCAGGCAGCTTGTGAAGGGTCCACTCGGGAGATGGGGAGGCAGGAGGCCCAGGGTTCCTCTTCACACAGGGCCCTCCCCAGCTCTCCCGGAGGAGCCCCGAAGCCCTGATGGCCCTGCTGGAATGTGCCGTTCTGAGAGGGCACAATTCCCAAGCTGCGGAGCACTGACCCACTGCCACATTCCGTGCCAGGAGAGGCTGGTGGGGCCCTGTGGCTATTCAGCAAGGCCCACTTCAAGGGGTTCAGCCCCAGGACTGGGGACATGGACACCCCAGTGGCCGAGTATGTGAATCTCTTCCCAACTCCATGTTCAGTGGTACCACATTGGAAGCCTGAAACAGGCCCTGGTAGAAGTGTTTATGCCACAGAAATTGGCAAACATTACAGATCAGGGCTTTTGGAGAGACAGCTGGTAGCTGAACATTTACAGCATAGCACTGACCACTGTTCACCCTGGGCCTCCAGGCTAAAGCCTGGTGCCAGCTTGGCCCCCACTCCCTCACCCCCACCTGCATGCTCTACTCTTCCGTCTGATAAGACGCAAGCCAGAAAGCCAGGAACCAAATGTCCTCCTCCACTCACAGACATGATGGAGGTTTATGCTGCCTCCTGGAGCTCTCGTCTAAACTGCAGGTACTCTGCACCCCAGCAGCCAGCCCTGCTAGCTTGTGACTCAGCCACCTCGGCTTGCAGCTGCCTAAATAGGTACATGTCTTTCCCTCATGGGATCATAGAGAAAACAGAAGTCACCTTAAAACAAATGCCTGTGGCAAGAGCCTCAGATCTTAAGGGTCGGCTCAAGGCAGCAGTGAGCTGTGTCCCCGGGGCTGGTGCGAGAATTCTGGGACAGGCAAAGGTAAAGTAGGATTGAGCTTTGTTTTTATAACTTCTTAAAAAATTATTAAAGTAAGACGTTTACTGTAAAGATTTCAGAAAATAAATATATAAGCAACTTAAAAAGACATCCATAATTGGAGTTAGGGGTGGGGTTTAGAGAGGCAGAGGGCGGTGTGGAGGGAATGGCGCCTGTTCCCACAGAAGGAAGGGCCTTCCCTTTGCCAGGCCTCAGTGCCCTTACCAGTAATGTGGAGAAACAACAGCTTTTACAGCTTCAGAAACCTCCCAAGAGTAACAGGAAAGACAGCACCCGGCTCGGGCAGTGTCCTGAGCACTCCGGGACACTGGACAGGAGAGTGGCTACTGTGGGGACCATTTGGTGATCTGTACTAAAATTATTCAAAAACCTTACAAAGGTGTATACTTTTTAACCCAAGGCAATGTGGCTAGGAGAATATATAAAGATATTCACTGCACCTTTGATTAAAATGCTAGAAAACCATATACAGCTTAGATATTCAGTAACAGCAAATTGGATAAATTATAGTGTGTAAAAAATAGCTGGGTGTGGTGGCTCACTCCTGTAATCCCAGCACTATGGGAGGTGGATCACCTGAGGTCAGGAGTTTGAGACCAGCCTGGCCAACACGGCGAAACCCCTCTCTACTAAAAATACAAAAAATTAGCCAGGAATGGTGGCGGGTGCCTGTAATCCCAAGTACTCAGGAGGCTGAGGCAGGAGAGTGCTTGAACTCGGGAGGCGGAGGTTGCAGCGAGCCAAGATCATACCACTGCACTCCAGCCTGGGTGAGAGAGCAAGACTCTGTCTCAAAAAA